CTGAAAGTTAGTTTATCATACTATTATACATACTGATCTCAGCTTATGCATTAATTGTGTATCCCTATTTTTACGGCTCTTGAAAATTCCAAAATCATACGGGCTTTTTTTTGCACACCCTAAAACCTATACACGTGCAGAGGTTGGAAGGTGCACTTAGCATTAAGTCCCAAGCTTGGGACCAGACTATAGTGTGCACTTAAAGAGGGTGTGCATTTAGGGAGGGTGCACTTAGGGAGGTTTTACTGTAGTATGATTAACTTCATAATTAATTACGATCCTGCAAGCTTAGTAGCTCAATTTCTTGGAAATGATGATGCTCATTGAATTTATTATTTGCTTTAAATATGTAACATAGCAATAACGTAAATTTTATTAATAATATTACATTCAGTACAATAATTGATAGCTAGTGCTTTGAAATGTAATTATAATATACAGTAATTAATCATAGGCTTCGTATTAGAAAAAATTTATTACAGTCTCTTTATTTGAATCGCAAGAAATCTTGTACACACACTATGATATAAGTTACAACATACAATTTACATACTGTATAATGTAGCAATGATTAATAGTTAGTGCTTTGAAACGCAATTAAATATATTTGTAATTAATTATGGGCTTCGTCAAAAAAATTTTTTTACCGTTACTGTTTATTTAATTGTGAGAGTTACAAGTTGCGACATATTACATAAATTGCGGCATGCCGTAACCATATCGACAAATTCGTAGGTTTCAATTTGCCGCATGTTTAATTAACAAGTTACAACTAGTTATAACTGAAGTTTCACCTAGAGCTAGTCTATAGTATATACGGGTCAGACAATGATTTATGCAAATCACATGAAACCGCATAAACTGCATAATATAGTCGATAACGCATAAAAGGTTAGATTCACCCATAATGTTACATAAAATATGGCACTATTAAGTAAATATCGCATAATTGGCTCTAAGTGCTGTTCCGTATGGCTCCGAATATAAAATCAATCAAGAGGAAGGTCAAGAAAAATTTGTGGTAAGTTCTGAACTATTCTGAAAGACAGTTTTCATGCTAAGTTAGTTATAAAGCTGGGCATTTTATCTGCAAGAAATAGCATAATTATAGATTTTGGAAAAATACTGACATAATTAAGAAAAAATATATGCGCATAAAAGTGCATAGTCTACTTTTGTTGCATAGTTTATTGCAGCATAAAATCATCGTTCCTAATCTGGATTACATAAGTCGTGGCCAATGAAACATATGAGTGCCGCCAAGGAAAAACCTGCATAGATTTTCCATAGACAGCTAACTGTACATAAAATATAATTGAAAGTTCGATGGCAGGTTTTCCCTTGGCGACACTCATATTATATAGATTCATAATCACATGATTAATTTTTAAAATTACGCGAATATGATTATTCGAAAATACCTCTATAAACGGTGAAACCGTTTAAAAAAAAAAAAATTGCAAGTGTAAACATTGCTTATAATTAAAAAATTAAGTGGACTGATTTCTCTTATAAACCACAAATAACCCAAAATGAGTTACCTATATTCAATAGCCATTATAATTTTTTCACATGGACATTTTATTAAAAAACCATACAGTGCTTAACTTAAACCTTACAATAAAAACCATACAAATAATTTTATAATTAAAAAATGAAATTGCGAGACTAGTTTTGGTGAAAATATTTTTCATTAAAGGCTTTTAAATTCTATTCTAATATACATTACTTCAATTTTAATTTGATAAATCCAATGATGAACTAGAAGTAAAAACTTCTTTATCAACCGTAATAGAATTATGAATTTTTATTTGTGGATATGATTCTTGATCATTTTTGCTAGTTCCACTGGCGTTATTTACGATAGTAGGATTGCTTCCAGTGTTATTTTTATTAGAATCGTTTTTTGCGGATGAATCATATTTATTTGTCCAATTTTCATGCACAGTATAAAGAATCGCA